CACCAGCCAAGCCTTCACAGCAGCTTAGGCATTTGAGGTTTCCATTTGAAACACTGTTTAAAGGACATCCACCAACACCCAACAAGGCAGAGGTCTTACGCCAACTCTGCAATTCAATTTTAAAGCTATTAAAAACAAATGTGTGCAACCACACGTGCTCAGATATTATTATGCTGTGTGACAGCCTAATGCAAGTTGCCTAAAATAGCAGCCTCATCCTTCTCCAAAATCCTCCATTGTCTGCCTAAGTCCAATCAAACAGCATTATCCTGTTGCAAGCTTAGACAGTACCCACCTCTGTTATCATTGGTATGCCAGCAAAGGCTTTCATGGTGCCACTCAAGTTTCTCTGAAGGCCTAGTGAAGACCTGCAGCCTTTGCAGCACACTCTAAACTCTGGGTACGTCAGCCCACCACCCTTCTCCAAGGGGTTTGCTCTGGCACTGCTGGCTCGCTTTGGACAGATGATTTAGACATCTACCTGCCATTCCTATGTAGTTTCAGTTGCGCTGCAGTTATATAGCTCTGGCTTGGCTTAACCCATACCGCCTCAGTTTCTCCACTTCTGCAGCTATAAACTTCATACCTTTATTTTTTCCCCTTGTTCAGGGGAAATCTTCTTATTAAGTTTCAAATCCTGTGTGCAGAGGAAGGAACTGAGCTTGGATCTCTCATATTTTGAGCCTGTAGTGTCACTGTTGGACACTGCTGGCTTTTCTTTCAAATGTTTCAAAACAAAAATATTTATCTTGAACTGAACAGAACGTTTCATACCAAACAAAGGGTGAATATCTGGGAGTTTTGGATCCAAAAGACTGCCAACTTCAATTCCATATCAGTAGTTCACCTATTTGCAATTTTTCAGCTCCCAAATCACAACCCAAAAGCAAGTACAATGATGTGCGTACCCTTTAATAAAGCCACCAAACCTGTTTATGTTAGCATATACACAAAGAATGAAGCCATACAGCTTGGAAAACACCATATGCTACCAAGCCCAAAGGACCTTCTGTTCAGACACAGGGCATCCTGAGTACATCCTCCGACTGTATAGCTCTGTGCTGTGATATCCATTTCATACACAGCCTGATTCTTGGACATTGAAATAATTCAGGGAAGTGGCTGTGAGCTGCCAGGAGAACTCTTCTCCCTCCACAATCTGAGCTGGCACAAGGAAAGTCCACTAGATCAGAAAAACAGTCAGGCCACTATATGTTAGACCATAAGAGAAGCCACACTTCACTTCAGACCTTCTTCAAAGCCCGGGTGACAGGAAACGTCATTCCTTTGGGATACCAGAATCCAAAACGTGTTAGTCTCCTGGTAAGTTTTTCAATTGGTTTTGCTTAACTCAGTCCTTTTTCTTCCCCATCATTGTGGGATGGAACAAGGCTTGTTGGAAACAAGCGTGCTGGAAGAGCCCAGGTTGATGCTGGGGTGGAGGCCTTGGAAGGCAGAAAGATCTGGCTTTCATCATGCATTAATCATCAACAAAATTGCTCCCATCTGGCAGGTTTACACTGTTACAAATTAAATTTTTCCTGGTGTCCAAGCAATGGTTTCCTCACATATAACTGGCCTGAGAGGCCGTGGACTGTGGGAGGCTGGACCCACAGAAAAATGTGTTTCCCTCCAACTATAAGAAGTTGTTTGTCCATACCACTTCCTGCAGGCTGGTGTCATTACATGTGCATCACTTCTGCCAAGAAGTGTTCACTGGGGAAAAGCATAATATCTCTGTTTCTAGGGAAGTCTAAGATAAGGTGAGAGCCGTCTCTTCCCACTGTTGTGGAAGCCCTTTCCGTGCAGATCTGAAATCTCCTGTCCTGCAGGACTGTGGAGAACAGACTGTTCCCTTTTTCTTAGCAGTAGCCTTTTATACAATTGGGGACTGTTTTGTTTAGAAAAGAGATGACTCAAAAGAGACGTGACAAACAGTCTTTCCTCAGAGGTCACATTTTCCCTCTGTCTTCCAGGTGACACTTCTGTTTAGTGCACCTTGGCCTAATCTGTTATACAATAGCAGGTTCATCCTAATGAATCTACACCTCCTTCTGCCTGGTAGTGTTGACACATGTTCAGCCTGTGATAAGCCCAGATGGTGACTCATCCACATGAACTTACCAGGTGACTATTCTCCACATAAGCATGGCTTTCCACGCACCCTTGGTGAGTTCTAGTCCTCTTCTCCTGTACACGCCTGTCTGCAATTTAGTTTTAAGATGGTGTTCAAACACATTTACAGACACCTGACCATAGCTCATATGCTGGCTTAATATGCATTTTTTCCCCCATCAGTGGAAATACTGAGATACTCTACATCTAAAACAGCCTCTGTGGAGAATCTTATTCTAGAATTTTTACATTTCATTAGAGAGCTACTAACAACAACTCTTCATCTTCCAAATAGATTTGCCACCACCTTTTAACTATTTCACCTAAGCCCTCACCTTAAGAGAGAGAATATCTTGTGTGTCATTTCCTCATGAGTCAAGAGCTGTGACAGTCATTACCTTCCTTCTGTCCACAGACTTCTTACTCCGGCATAGAGGAACTTATGCCAGTATGACAGTTGGCTCTTAACAAAACCACATGACTGTTACTTATCTCCTATAGTCATATACAGAAATACATCTATTTCTTAGAAGCTAAATTGAAAGCGATTTGTTGTGGAATTCTCCAGTTCTTCCTTTTTCCTCTTTTGCCAAAAGAATCATTACATCTACCTTTCCCCAGCATTTCAGAACTTCAGAAAATGCTCTGTTAATTGTCAGAAAAAACCATTAACTGCTTCGAGGTTACTCCACATAACTCTCTAAGCTCTCTAGTCCTTCAATACTTTCCTTGATATTTCTACTCTTCCCAATATGATAACAGAAAATGCTCATTGCCCTTCATGTTTCTAATGTAATCTCATTTTTGATCTTGACCTTTCTGACTTTCCATTTTCACTTGTTCATGGTATTTTTATACTCATCTTTATTAATTTTGCCATGCTTACACACTATCTGTCTGTTTTTCTCTTGCTTAAGGTACCAAGAGCACATAATTTACAAAATGGTCTATTTTTTCCAGTTTCAAACTCTCATTTCATGGTCTCACTCACCTAAACTGTCTCCCACCTTCAAGTTCTCAGCTAGTTCTTTCCCATTCCTCCAGTTAAAACCACAGAAAATTTCGTGTTGCTCTTTCTGCCACCCTTTATACCCAGAAAACTGCTGCAACATGCCAGACCTTGCTGAATGGCCTGCAACCTGAAGCATTGCCATCCCTACAGATGTTGGGCAATTAAAATTCCTCACTGCCACTAAGTCCTGTGCTTGGGACAGTCCTGCTTGTTGCTCACAAAAAGACTTCATTCACCTCTGTTTTTGAGACCTGGAGCAGACCCCCACCATGCTACTGATGAGCAGGTCCTTGTCCCTCCGTTAGAATGTGGATGTTGGAGGCAGTTGCACCCCTGGCACACATCACTTCCTCCAAGTCTTCTTGAGCAATAATTCTATTTTAATATCCTGGCTGCAAGAATTACCAGACCAAATCTCTGTCATGCTAACATAAAGACATCTAAGACATTCAACCAGTTGACCCAACAACTTTCCTACTGCAGCATCAGTGAATCAGGGAACTGAAAGAGGGAATAGGAGAAAATGGAATTATAAATAATAAATATGTAGATCTTTGTCTCGGTTTCCACTGCACACTTCTGAAATAATTTCTTTCTTAACTCCCTTCCCCTATAGTCCCATGACTTTATGTGAGGGTGTTCATCTCCTGTTTCAGGGGTTGACCTGGATGGACCAGCAGCTATCTGTTCTGTCCTCCCTGCTGATGGGAGCCAAGGCCCTCCCCACCTGTCCCTCTCCTGAGCACTAGACGCACCTGCATAAGCATTTCTAACACTGCAGCACAGCTCCTTCTCTTGTCACCCTCCTCCCACACACCCACATTCACATTTGGGCTGGTTCATACCACTCCTGGCAGTAGTGCCAACACTCACAGGGACGGGCAGCCTAGATCTTTATTTCTTGAGCAGGTGAGCCTTGGTTATCTTCCAGCAATGTGGTGGATGGGACTTACTCCTGCTCTCCATCGATGAAAACCCTTGTGCCTTGTTTAATTCCCCTGAAGAGTAGTGGCCTCTGTGGCATTTTGCCTCCCAGCATGATGGTGAACCTCACCTGCTGTTTGGTCAGCGTAGTGGCTTCCTTGATGTAAAGCAACTTCTGTCCCTCACAGCCATCATTCCTACCCTTTCTCCACTGAGAGTGAAGAGGGAAATTTTTTCAACTTCCTGGGTGGTTTTTTGTTTGTTTTGATTGTTTTTTTGTCTGCAGGGCTTTCCATGATTCCTCAGAGTGTTTCAACCCAGCCACTCCAACCTGAAGGTTTCCAGATTCCTTCCTAAAGGAACACCACTAAGAGGCATGTTTTCCTCTCCTGGTTCTTACTAGCAAGAAGAAAAGGCCACAGACCTTGCAAATTCAGTTCAAATCCTGGACTAAAGCATTCAGGAATGGTGTTTCCAATTGAGAACAGCCCTTACAGCAGAAGGAAACATGAAATAGCAGAGGGAGCCCTGAAAGAGCAGTATTACCTCACTATTTTTGTTCTGACCACTGTGCTCTTTTGTGAAGGATGCACTTCCTACCACTGCAGGGGGCTGGGAGAGCAGAAATAATAAGATGCTCACCTTGTTAGCCAAGGATTAGGCCCAAGCAGTATATATTTAATTAGACTTTAAAGAGCTTATTTCAATGTTAGGAGATGCAGTTCTTCCCTGTTGCTGCTGCCTCAATATAATTGTTTCAGTAAGTGTTCTTATCAAGAGTAAAAAGAGTGTTTTCAGTTGTTGTGAATACTCAGTTTTTGTTTGCATTTAGATTAAGAAGAAGAAAGTTCACCCAAAGCTCTTGTAGAGGTCATCTAATCTGTTTGGTTGAGAAGATCTGTCCTCCCACAGACTCACCTTCGGCACTATAAAGGAATACCTCTTCCTGATGACAAGCTCTCTTTGCAGTGTTACCTCATCCTTGGTCATTCTAGAAGCAACATCTTCTGTTACAAAAATTTAGGAACTACATCAGAAATTAGAGTGCTGTTTGCATAGACTACATCTTTGGACTACTGCCTGCCACAACATCCAGGGTGATCACAATGAGCATTAGTGAAGACGATGTGGAGAAGTTTCTTGATGGCAACCCTGCTTTTGCCAAGCAATACTTTGAGAAGAAACTAAGAACAGAGTCCTGGGATAGCAATGAGAGTGAAATACTTTTTGAGTTGATCCAAGACATGCAAGAAAGCATCAACATGGAGAAAGTTGTTTTCAAGACCTTGAGAAGAATCAGGTCCCTTATTCACGCTGACCGCTGTAGTCTTTTCATGTACAGGCAGAGAAATGGCACTCCTGAACTGGCAACAAGACTTTTCAACATCCAAGAGGGAAGCACCCTAGAGGAATGCCTGGTATCCCCAGACTGTGAGATCGTCTATCCGTTGGACATAGGCATTGTGGGCTACGTTGCGCAAACCAAGAAAACCATGAACATCAAGGATGTCAGTGAGGTACGTTTGTCGTTTATTCATTCACTCGGTAGAAGAAAGGCTCACATGCTTACTAGTACAAAGGGATCAAGAGGTAGCAGGGCATTTCAGTGCTTGGTCAAACCTCTTGCAGTGTAGTAGCTGGGTCGTGGAAACTAAAGTACTAGTAGCAAGTCTGTAAGTTGCTTCCAATTTTGTTTGTGGAGTGAAGTGAAGCTAAGCACATTAATTACACTAGGTGTTAATGCCCGCAAACAAGTGCACTGTCACACCTTGCCTGTCGAACTAAAAAATAAATCACATCTAATCCAGCAGAAAAGAGAGAGTGAGGTACAGTCAGATCTGCACTGAACGCACTTGGAATTTTCTACACACATTTATATTCCATGAGTAATTGGCGAAGAGAGAGAAATCCTTTACAGTGAGTCCAGAAAGGGTTTTCCACTACATTTTAAAATGTTTGCTGTCTGATGAAGCTTGGGCCAAGGACGTTTAGAGACATTTTTATAAACAAGAGGGAGCAGACCTCAGAGCAGGTGGGTTAACTACAACGTGTGTACAGATGATCTTCATCAGAAGCAGCAAGAGACAAACTTTGACCAAAAAAATTCTTTCAGTAAACACTGCACACTGTAATACCAGGAAGGATCCAAGCAATTTTAATGCTTTATTTTTATGCCTTCATGACAATATTTACCCCCCATACTCCTGGGTTGAATCATGTAAACCTGAATGGCAGCAATAACAATCCGCTTGTTCTAATCATAGATATAAAACTAAAATCCATGTGACCCAAATATGGCATTTGGGATTACTCCATCTATTGTTTGTTAGTTACAAAGAGACCATCTGTTTATCCATCCATTTGTTGCTCAATACGAGCATATCCAAACACTTCATCAAAAACTTCCTTGTCCTTCACCAAGACATTGATATTGGTTTTGCAACCATTTTTGGTGGTGGTGGGGGGGGAAGCATCAGAATGTGACTTAAACTTTTTAAAGCTCCCTGGCTTCATACATTTCTCCAAGAATATAGAAATAATTCAGTGCTGTGAACCAAGTGCTGCACTCCCACTCTAGTGCTTTCAGGCATTGCTTTCAGGCAATTCCTCTGAAGGAAACCCAAAGACTAAATGCTTGGTCTACCCCAATTGGCAGGAAGGTCCGACAGTGGAGGAGATATGGGGAGAAGTTACATTAGAGAGTGATTATTCTCTCTGGTGCAGCCAACTGAATATGATCAGAGCTGTGGGGCTTTTCCTAACCCAACTAGAAGGACTTGTAGTTGACTACTTATTCACCTGAGCAGGGAGAAGCTCTTGGTTCAGCAAGACCATCCCTGCACTCCCTACTGGCAGGTGATGATGGTGTCAATAAAGCCTTGTTCAGGTGTGGTGATGGGTCATCTGCCTTCCCCGCACTACCCTTTCTCTGCGTTGTTTTCTTTTGGGATGGAGGGAACAGTGATGTTCACATAAGGAACAAAGGGACAAGTTCCCTTTGTGTTGCCCCTACAGCATTACCTAGCACTCTCCCAGTGGTTTTGAACGGTGATTCCCTCATGAGCGACTCGCTGGGCAGCCCAGTCCATAGCAGTGCTATCTGCACATTGCAACTGCTGCCAAAACGCCTCTGGGGCTGAGGAAGGTATGTTGCTCTCAGGGGCAGGGGGAGAGTGCCAGGAATCACACACTGCTGGTGTCAGCAGCACCCTCCGCTGGGATATTGTTCCCTATCATCTACCATCCCATGCACAAGAGCCCAGCAAGATGGGAGGGAAAGCCTTGGAGAACATTTTCAAGAGAAACAAGGGGTAGATGGCTTCATGGAGGCTGCAAGCTAATAGCAGCTTCAGGGCTCAGCCAAAAGCAGAGGGAAAATGAGAGTGAGTGAACTTCCCAGTTACTGTACCAGACAGCACTGGTTTATAAACTGTGGCTATGCGATGCTGCACAGTAACTGGCTGTACCCACTTCGCAGTGTTAACGAGAAGTTGGAGGTAAGGACGGAGGAGGTACTATGAAGGATGTCAGTGATCTGAGAATAGCAAGTGGAAAGCTGCCTTGTTCTGACCAAGTTTGATGTGTTAAAGCTTATGATTTGCAAGATCTTTGCAAAAAGTGAAAAAGTGCACGTGTTGCAGTCAGAAGGCACAGCCAGTTCTCTTGATACTAGCTTTATCACCTGTACATTGTCCATTTTAAGCTCATTCATTTCTCTTCCTCAGTAATTTTTTAAGCAAAACTTTCTTAGAGCAGCTTACTTCAAGAGGCTGTGCTTTAACTTGGTTTTAAGACTACAGACATTATGGAAAATGCTTAATTTGTAAATTCTCTATTGAACAGTGTGCCCAGTTCAGTCCATTTGTTGATGAGCTCACCGACTATACTACGAAAAGCATCCTTGCGACACCCATCTTGAATGGCAAAGATTTAGTTGCTGTTATTTTGGCTATTAATAAGCTGAACGGCCCATACTTCACCAGCTCTGATGAAACAGTAAGTGGTCAGTAGCTCAGTTTCTATCAAGCAGTTGTCACTTTTGCCATGTAACACAGACTCTTCTACACTAGGGATGTCTGCTTTAGTGAAGCTCCACTGGTGTGAATTTACCTACAGGGGACTCACCCTCTAACAGAAGAGTCTTATTATGAGGATGCTTACCTCAGAAATCTTTCCGGGAAGTTACACTGGGATAAGCCTCATCTCACACCAGTGCAAAGCAAAGCATTTATCCAGGGGAATTACCGTGACGTTGCTAAAGGGGTGTTATGAAATCCAGTATACACAAGGCTGCTACTGCATTCAACTGAATCTCATTGTTTGCCTTTTCAGCTTTTCCTGAAGTACCTGAATTTTGCCTCCTTGAACTTGAAAATTTATCACTTGAGTTATCTTCACAATTGTGAGACTCGAAGAGGGCAGGTAAGAGTGAAAATGCAGATTGGGTTGTATCTTAAAATCAAATGAGTGCATTCTTCTGATTTCAAAGGTGTAGCTGACCTGCTTCAGATGTTTCTGCCTGAAGAGCAGAAAGAAAAAGGTGCCCTCATCTGTTTTTGGATACTGCTCCTTCCCCAGAGCCCTTCGTTAGTCTCTCTTCCTGCTGCTGTTGGCAAAACTGCAGGAGCTGATGCAGTGGCTTCAGCAGGACGGAGCTCTAGATGTTTTGTTAAACTGAGGCTATGAAACACTCTTGGGACATTTAACTGCTTCAGCCAGCAGCACCAAGAGGTTTCCCCAAACAATTAAGAATGTGGCATTTTTTCCTTATTTGTGTATTAAAAAGTGCTGTAGAATTTCTTCTTAGTGCCAGTAAAATTATTCTTATATGCTTGTTGTATTGGCTTCCCTCAGTAGAAATGAACATAGATGAGGGGTTTAGGGTATTCTGAATTGAAGCAATTCAGCCACCATTCTTTTCCATGACTTGGGTTATGAAAGGACTCTCGAATTTATTGGGATGGCTGTGAATCCACGCACTCACTTTCTGCAGCAGACAACTGGTTGTCATTGAAGAGGACATGCAATCGTGTCTATGCTTCATGGTAGCCATGCTCTTGTCTCCAGTGGGGGTTCCCGTGGGGGATGAATGCCTATTTCAGCAAAATGGATGCAGAATGAAAGTTTGTTTTAGAAGCTTTGAGGTAGCGCTTATACTTACTAATTCATTATCTCATGTGCTTCATCTAATTTTTTCGGTAATCAAAAACATGAATGATGGTCAGGTGATACAGCCATCTAGCAATACTGAGTAATTCAATTAAAGTAGAACTAGCAAAGGTTTATTGCTGTTGAAGGCTTACCAATAGGACTGAGGAAGGTCAGGAAGGGGCGAGAAGACAAAGCGGAGACCCGAGAGGTGGAAGACCTACTGTCTTTCACAGGGTGCACTGGTCTGGGGCTGAACCCAGGAGTCCTGTGTTCGTGTATCACTGCTGCATGACCAAGTCCCACAGAAAGGGAGGAAACCAAGAACGAGATGCAAGACACACTGCTAGTTCTACCAATAGTTCACTTGGCAGACCTTTGGCTGACTGGATCTAAAGGTCTGTGCGAGAGTTAAGTACCGAAGTACAGAGGGAGCAAATGACATTCTCAAAGGTGGTCTAGGATTTTAACATTGCAAATCCCAGCTGCAAAGACTGGGGGATACTGTAGGTAAAATGGCTTGTGCAAAAACAGTTCAGTCTGCTTGTGCTCAGAAACTGTGTAAGAGTCTGATTAGAAGACCATATAACACATTTTGCCCAACTTCTTTGCATGATTCCATGAATTGGCCGTTCTTCAGGTGTTTCTTTCAGTTCCGCTCACTGGGCATGTGGCTTTCAGAATTACTTCTTGCATGCTGTAAAATGTCAAAAATAAACCATTGTTTGTTTTCTAATAGTTTGTATGACAACACCAGTAACCTATCTGAGGGATGCTCAGAGGCCAGTGACATTGAATACCTTAGACTTTGTAGGAGTGGCAGAGTTGTCCCAATTTACAGATCAGAAACAGAGACCAATGCAGCTCAGATTGTCAAAAATATCTACTAGTGCTCAGTGAAGAGGTGAGATACACTTTTCCTGATTGTGGCCATGCAACACGTACTTCTTGTTCAAAGCACAGGTCCAGTCATCTTCAGGAAGCAGCTCTCAGTGCTTCTGAAGCACTGCTCCTTATGCCTCCTGGGCTTGGAAAGCAAAGTACACACACCGACATACAGACACACACACACACCAGCTAAGCTAGGCAATTGCATAAGTGGCTTCCTTACCATTTTGGAGAAAATTAAGCTCTCCGTTAGGCCCACAAAGACCCCCTTGTGCCACCAGAAGTCCTTGCCTAATTTGCTGCCTAACCTCCATTTTTACAAATTAAAAAGCCTAACAGCAACAGCTTTCTTAAGGGTGCATCATCTGTGGGGCACAGGATGGGGAAAAGGACCATAGGCTGATGCACACACACAAAGCAGCTATGCAAAGGCTTTGAGGAAAATGTTAATTCAGATATTTCCAACTCCAGCCTCTGGAATTTGCAACACTTTTGGTGTTAACTGGTTTTGGATGCAAGATTTAACTTCTGGGTATAAAATGTAAGTGGGGCCATCTCTTTATCTGGCACTACTACTTTTTTGTGCTGTATTTGTGAGACTGGACCTGTACATAGCATTCCATGATGACCTGACTCTTCCTCAGAATGCATCTTTCACTATAATTTCCAGTGTGAATAAGCAATGCTTTTACATTTTGCAGTATAGGTTGCTGTTGCACTTTCCAGGAACTGTAGTATAAAAACCGGATTGTTTCCTTGTTAGTCCAAACACATTTGGGAAGCCCAGCTCTCAAGGAGAGGCTATGCTTACACTTGGATTTTATCCTGTAGGTGCTGTTGTGGTCGGCTAATAAGGTTTTCGAGGAGCTGACAGACATTGAGAGGCAGTTCCACAAGGCTTTTTACACGGTGAGAGCATATCTGAACTGTGACCGGTACTCAGTAGGTCTCCTGGACATGACAAAGCAGAAGGTGAGTGTTCACATGTGTGTTGTACATCTTTCTGCTTTGCTGCAGAAAGTGAGGGGTGATGTGTGGAGATAAGTTTTACTGGGGTAGCCGAAGTGCAAGCTAGCTTTGAATC